CAAATTTCTTAAACTAAAACTATTAATGGACATATTAGATCGGTTTATTTACAAAAACGTAACGGTAACATGAAAGCCACTTTAATTGACTATAACATCTTTGCATACAAAGCAACACTATTTAAAGTTATGTGAAATCTTTGTGTTCATGAAAACATAATAGTGACATGAACGCAAGGTTATAAAACCGAAAGTATTGAGGGAATATTTTATATTGACTAGTTCTGTTCGTTACTACTAGTTGGCTATTGAATGACAGTTATTTTACAACAACTAAGATGGGGCATTTTTTACATGTAAGAGCCACATTACCGTCACGGCAGTTCATATGTTTAGGCTGATACACGTCATATTATCACATAGATTACCAGGATTATAACACCATGTACAAGTACAAGTAATTTATTTCAAATCTCTAATTGAAACCATGTTAGTAGCAATACTTATCTTAGTGGAAATATTGTTAAAAACGCAGTCACCCAACCTAGACATACATACAGTTTAATGTATTTTAAAACCACGGATATTATGCCAGCATTACAAGAAACCGATAATTGCAATTATAATAGGAAGTCTCACAAAAATTCCCAATTGCACATGTCTGAGGATATTCTAACTCCTGATCAATATCCCCCAAATCTATTGGCATAATTCAAGTTGGAAGATGGAGAGAGGAGATGCGTTGTAAGTATATCTAGGCTGTGTTATCAGGCAATAGAGCTTCTAATAACTTATAAAAAGAACAAAAAAGAACCCCCCTCATAAACTAGTTAAATGGCCATTAACCGTGATGCAATTTTAAAGTATATTGATTAAAATACATTTTAGCTATAGCCAACTTTCCCAGAGATGGCAACATCCAAAGATGGTGCCATCAAGTACTAGTACTGGATAAGACAGTTGATAACAACATAAACGCTGCTAGGTCGGAAACTGGCAGGGTGTAAAAGGTAGGTCGGATATTTTTATGACAGATCCCCCCAATTAGAAATGAGTCCCTAATCTGGTCAATACTAAAATACACAGACTGAAGTAGCTAATAATAGTTGCTGTTCCTATCCAAGGAACCTAAACGAGAACCTCTGAAGTCTTACTCAAAGTGTTGGTAATGATGTTCAAAAGGTAACAAGTGCAGGCGATTGAACTGTGTGAGGTTTCGAATACTAGTTTTGATCACATGCTTACAAAACAGATATTGGTAATCTTTCTGTCACAATAATCAATACAAACGAAAAATCTGTAATATGAACAGCCTTGCTCTATTGACTAACCAAGCTAAAAGAATCAAATAATATTCATGTTCCTCAAATGATACATTTATTGTATTACAAAATACAATACTCCCTACGTGTATTCATACAAAGCATTACAACAATTTAAATCACCTGAAAATTTGACAAATATTGCGATTACCAACTTAAGCACATATACTGTGGCTTGAACTCCAAAATTTAATCCTGAATTATTTTCTCTATTAGTATTTACTTTCCCATTAAGACGTTTTTCTAATACAGCAAATATTTATCTAAACAGTATTTATCTAAACCATGTTACACATTATTATTACAGAGTGGGTAAAAATATTATAGAATATAATGGCCCAGTTTAATACAACCAATGGAAATTAAAGACTAGAGAGTCTGAGAGATTTGTGAGAAATTTTTTGTGTGTGCTTGGGGCCTTTGAAGTAAACATAAGAAATACTATTATTTAATTGTACACTGGTGGTTTGTGGCGTGATTATTTCCAGAGTATCTTTGCAACAATTTAAATCTCATTTTTTGAGATATGAAAATGATCTTTGCAAATTAGATAATTAATATGCATGATTAATTCAGCCTTAAATTAATCACTTCTATGTATTACCCCGGAGCACCTGTAACAAGTATCATTGAAATCTAATTATTGGAAAATATGCTAAGTCATGCAAATAAGACAATTACTATACACAGATATGAACCAAAAAATTAAACAGGCCTGTGGAGTATCCAAGATCATCTACATAGATGTCTGATGTATGTGTTGTGAAGTATGAACTTGATCGGCCAAAGTACATGCGAGATATGTTCCAGATTTTGTCTCGGAAAAAAGAGACATGCTTGATTTCAATGAATGTATGGCACTAAAATGGCAGTCATGGCCATCTTGTTTTAGATCATGAAACAAAGACTGTTGATATATGTATGAGGTTTGAGATTCAGGTGTGAGCCGAGACACAGGCTGACAGACAAATGCATGCATGCATGCATGCACAAACTAATACATGCACAGAAGTGTTTTCAGATTTTGTTCAAACAATGACCAATGGGTTATGCGTTGTGGATTTGTTAGCTAAACATGGTTTGAGAGACAGTGGATACTACCAATGCAAAACATTGTAATATTCATTCGAATTAGATTAACTCCCATTACCACCATATATATATATATATATATATATATATATATATATATATATATATATATATATGTATTTTATCTTAATAAAATCCTCCCACACACACATATTTTCGACATATAAGTGGAAATGAAAATTAGAGAATGTTTCACTTACTTATAGCTTGATGATAAGTGGCATTTTACACATGCTTGCAATTAATCAATAGAGATACCATCCTAAGCCCTTCTCTTTCCTCAGCTCATTGAATTTGTCAAATTCCACCTAAATTCAAAACAAAATTTATTCAAGTTTGCCAATTAGTATGTATAGATCCATTAAACTAAAATATTCACAACTATGCAGTGATACTGACGAACAAAAATGTTTACCTTAAACTTATAACAAATAACATTACAGGTTTGAAATTGTGAACACCATGCTGTCATATTTTCAGATATTCATATTGAGCTTCTAACTTCAAAATACGAGTAGATGGTAATGTATTAATATATAAAAATATTTTACTTTTGAATAACTTAGACCTTTAATAGAAGAAAATAATACATCCAACAGTGGAGAGTGGAGGTTAAATACGATTTATAAGTGCATGACACGAGGCACGGAATGTAAATATATTATTTTGTGTATACTGGAATAAAACGTACTAATAATTCAAAATTACGTACGTATTGGAGGCCGTGGCGTGTGTGTTTTAAAACGATGTGTGCATTTTAAAAAAGGCGTGACTGCGTTTTAATGGTATGTGTGTTTTAAAACGACGAGTGTGTTTAAAAATGACCGATGTGTGTATGTATGTATGTGCATTAAATGTATGTGCATTAAAAAACGATGTGTGTATTAAAAATGATGTGTGTATTAAAATGACGTGTGTTTAAAAACAACGTGTGTGTTTTAAAATGACGTGTGTGTTCTAAAAATAATGTGTATATTAAAATGACGTGTGTGTTTTAAAAATGACGTGTATTTAAAAACGACGTGTGTGTTTTAAAAATAATGTGTGTATATTGAAATGACGTGTGTGTTTTAAAGTGACGTATGTGTTTTAAAATGACGTGGGTGTTTAACAAATTATGTGTATATTAAAATGACGTGTGTGTTTTAAAAATGACGTGTGTTTAAAAACGACGTGTGTATTTTTAAATAATGTGTTTTTAAAAATGACGCATGTGAGGTCGAATGAAAATTTGTGAGTAAAAAAACAAAACGCGTGCTTTAACCTATTTACGCCTGTAGGAGGCGCTATTTATGAATGATTTTGTTTTCGTGTGTGTGCAAAAAAAAAAAACGCGTGCATTAACCTTTTGACGCCTGTGGGGGCGCTATTTTTGAATGATTTATTGTGTGTGTGTGTTAAAAAAATTGCGTGCATTAACCTATTCACGCCTGTGGAGGCGTCGTCCCAAGTGGTAGCCATTCTCGTTTGTGGATTTCTATAACGTCAATAAGGTACGTACAAAGGAACGTGTCCAGCACGAACGTTTTATTCATTCGGCGCTATAAATTTCCCAACACTGTAGAGGCCTGTCGAGTTATTCGTGTGGTTGGTTGCTGAAGACAAGAAGACAATACGTTGATATCTAGGCCCATGGGACCGAATACTGGTCCATCCATAAAAGTGTTTTGTAGCATAGCCATATGTATATTCTACTACATAAGGGAAACCTTACATTGGCTCAGTGTTTAGTGTGAATTTGCGTGCAAGAATGTTTACAGCATTTACATCACACCAATTTAGTAAAGTATTACATAGCAATTTTATTAGGATAATGGTGACTTCATACTGAAAACAAAATAGGATAAAAGACCCTCAAAAACGACGTAACTCGTGGGATTCATTGTTATTGATATTGTCTTCAGCCGAATTGAGCGAATACATCTTGTTCTTAAGTTGTATGTTATACAGTAAAGTGCTGTTCCACGAACTAACTATATACCATTGACTGAAGTGAAAAGATAAAATTACATCAATTGTCTTGCATGCGGTGTGCTAAATATGGTGTACATTTGAGGATAGTGAGATAGCGCCCTCAAAGGGACTAATTATCAGTCACTTTTTTTATTGGTCCCGGGTGCAAATCTGCCAAATCAGTTCAGCCAGCCAGGCATAATATTCGTAGCAGAACTAACATTCATCGTCAATACCCATCCAACAATGATTACTGTATTTTGCTTTTCTGACAACCATTCATGTGATACTTTTACATGTGTATTTTAAAATTGTTTATGTTGATGACTGTTCTTATTCAACTGTGACGGATCCAGAAAAATGTAATGGGGGGGGGGGGGGTCCAAGCTTCGCTTAAGATATACGGAGCGTAAATCGCAGAAAAGCTATGCGTAATCCAGATGATATGAATCGTCATGCGTTGGTGGATCCGCCACTGTTGTTCAATTTAAATTGTTATCGATATGTTATCAATATGGCCATTTTCGCAGGTTACCAGTTAATAAAAGTGGTGTTCCTATCTCAGACTGCCAGTCCCTGTCTGTGTGTTTTTGTCGTGGTAATTAGATATATTGTTGAATCCAAATATTTATTTAATATTGACTTTTTTTGTATTTTGCAGAAATAAAAACATATCAAATCAACTAAGCGATGATGTCAGTGTCTCTTCACACAGTGGTAATCGGAAAATGGACCCTGATCACGTGCTTTGTGTTTGTAACCCACGCATTAGGATTTCATCAATATTGCTTAATCGGCGCCGGACCAGCCGGTCTACAGATGGGATACTTTCTGGGGAAAGCTAATCGTGATTATGTAATATTTGAGAAGACGAATATGCCAGGATCCTTCTTCGAACATTACCCAAGACATCGCAAGTTGATAAGCATCAATAAGATCAACACTGGGAGTACAAACAAGGAGTTTAATTTCAGACATGATTGGAACTCCCTTATTGGCGATGGCGATCTATATTTCAAGTAACGTTGATTTCTTTAATTAATTATTTATTAATATATCATTAAGGATATTGAAATATATGAGTTCGTAATTCCATTGGGTTTTTTCTAATTCTTTATAATTTAAAAATCAAAATATATATTCCCAGTTCTTTTGAGATTGATATTTCCACCAACTAAATAAGTTGATCAATCTCAAAATTATGAATAATTCATTTAGGATATAAATTCCATTCATTTCGTAATCTTAAATTTAACTGTTCTTTTCTACACAGTATTTACGATTAACATTATTATAGCAAGAAAATTATACAATACCATCAACATTGTACGAGAGTCTATCGTCACTGTCTAGAAAAAACATATGCTGCAGGATTCTGCTTTAGTATAGAAACAAGAATGATCACAGTAGCTACGCATTTAGTAATAGCGAGCTATCTTAAAAATGATCGCATAGCAACAGCTAAGCATCTAGTAATAGCTATTTATCAAAAAGAATAATCGCATAACAGCAATTACTCGAGTTTCTTGGTTGTACAACATTTGATCTTGACACAGCATATTCTGTTCTAAAAATTCAACATGTTATCTACCTTGTTTTATAAACATCAAGCGTGCGCTAAAATGCGAAGAGATGCATGGCGCGCGTAAACAATGGTGCAAGGAAGGACAAAAATACTGTTTTAAAGGGGAGCAGAGGTGTGGCTTTTGACACTCTGTACATGACATTTGAGATCTATGAATGAATTCTGTCGATAAAAATAACTTGTATGTGCTGCGAAATGCCCTAAATATCGGGTATAAAACGGGCTGTGAAGCAGACGACAAACGTCATCAGTGAACACTGATAATTGAACCCATTCATGCTAGTATGTCAATCCCAGAGAAATGCTACTATGAAAGACCTTGTTAACTGACTACTTAAAAGTTGAAACATGGCGAAATGTTGTGCGTATTCATGTTAAGTTTCTCGAAATCCCAAATAAAAAATCACATTGTTGTTGCGAGATCTAACCTGAAAATGAAGGCACGTACAGCGCTCTAGCTATAGTAAACAGTGAGTAAATAAATATTGTTTGAGTTAAAAACTAAATTAGAAATACGCTAATATCACTTGAACTACAGTAATCATTTCGCCCAACTTCCCACTTTTAATCGACCGCTTATCGCTTAATTTCCGACCGCACTTTATTTTTCGACCAAAAAACGACCGCATTTTTATCGTAATTTTTCTCTCACCGACTCATTGAAAACACCGACCGGTCGCCCAAACACTGGTCACTTGCACAGGAGTGATCGAAATAGTGGTTTTGAGTGATATAGTTTGGGGATAAAACGGGTACTAACTATTATTAAATTCCGCACTACTCTTCAAATCTATACCACATTGTATCGTTCGCGGACGAAACTTCATCCGTGTCCAATATTAAATAACTGACTTTGCGTAATTATTATGAAAGCGATATATTACAATGTTGAAATTTTTAGAGCCGGTACAACATTCTAAACAAATTTGCGTAATTAGAAAAGCAGCGCACTAAGTAAACGACCTCAAAATAATATACAAGTTTGCGTACAGCACCGTTAGAACTAATAACAATTTTACAAGATCGACGCGCGGAGCATGAAAGAAAAAGATTGCTAATGGTAACGCGCCTGTTCAGTGCGTGACTTGGGGGGTCAAACTTCGGTCAGCACACACTTGATGTCAGCATCGCCGCGCAGTAAGTTACGCAATGAAGCTAAAGTTCAATTGCATCCCAAAATGATGTCGTTGATCACTCAGTCTTTTGCAAAATATTATAACTAGTTTCCAAGCTTTTGATGCAGCCAGATTTATTTAACTTTGTGGAAATATAATCTTTTTAATTTCCCAGTCCTTTCTGTTCATTCATTGTCTTGACAATAAGTGTGAATTACTGTGCGAGCTTTTCGTACCCGACCGCTGTCAGTACGGCGTCATTAAAGGAAACATCAAACCAAACAGCATAATGACCCCTGAAGAAGAAGCTCTACAAATGTAGAAGAATGCAATTTACAGTTTTTTTATATCACTTTTCATTCTCTAGATATTCAACTTTTCATCAGTATTATGTAGTCAGCCATCTTGATTTTCACGCAAAGGATTATTGCATTCTGGAAAATGATGTAAGGTAGACATGCTCATATTTCAGTTTGTTACATAGAAATAAAGTACAACTCCTCTCTAGATCTGCCTTTTACAAGTCCTCCACGGTTTTCCACACTATATTCTCTCCATTATTTAAAAATAAAATGAATAATAACAATTGTACAAAAAAACACTAGGGAAAGAATAACCTAAGAAGAAGCCACATTGGTAAGCACACAAATTAATAAAACGTTCTCTGTTGCCAGGCATTTAAATTTTAAGATTTAGTATTTGTGTACTTAAATTGTGTATTAAATTTTGTACTTGTTTAATACTGGAGTGCACTGCTAAATATTTGTTGTTGAAAATAAATTATCCCACAGTACTTGGAAAAGGGAATTACAGTGTCAATTTCTTACCAACCTTTCAATATTCAATTATGTGAAACTTCAGGCTTAAAATTATTCAAATTCTTGTGTCCTGGCTATCAGTCTCTAAGGTTAATGTTAATATTGTAACTTACCCACAGTAGCCTCTTCTTATTGTGTGATCCAGAATTGGCCCAGCAGTTCCTAGTTGTTTTCATAAGGTGGGGGAATCTGTCATCTTCAGACTTCAGTACATGGATTTGATGTCTTGTAGGTAATAAAAACCCTAGCTTCACCATGTATTCTGTACAATCTTCTGTTTTGGGAAGCCCCATCAGATGTAGAGGCCATCACATTAAAACCATAGAGTTCCCAAACATCTACAGGTTCTTTTACCAGTGGAAATAGAAAATTCAATGAGATTGATGCGGTGGCAAAATGTGCAATGGGGCAATTTATATGCATACAAATAGCACGCGACAATAAATACCAGCATATATGTAGCTACATCAGGTTTGTCAAACCTATCATTATTCATGTCTTTCTCAAAAGTAGCCAGGGAATTGTTAAAATCACCCATGTCAACAAAACCAACTAACTGTCCCGAGCTCTTTTCAAATACAACGTCAGCATGGATTCGTAACTCATCTGGAACCAAAACTACATACATCTGATGATCTTTTAATTCAGAAAAATTGCACTCCCTGTATAGCTACTCCATTGTCAATCTGATTAAAATCTGATGTAGTGTACAGGCTTTAATTATTTTGGCTATAAACTTATTTTAATTTTATTTTTTTATTACTTTTGTTATTAATGCCTTTTTATTTTATTATTTTACTTTGATTGTATAATTTTTTGGTACAGAAAGATTGCCCGTGGAGTAACGCTACACTGAAAAGTAAGCAACTGACATCCTGTATAAAAGGGGGACTGTGATTGGTTGTTACTTACGTGAGATTTGAACGGGACTTACATAGATAGGCATTGGATCAGATCCTTGTTGGCTTTTGCAATTACCAACACTTCAAAAAATAAATACTAGATCAAAATAAAATAAAAAAAAATATACAAAAAAAAAGCCAAAACTAGGATCTTATTTTAATCAGATTGCTCCATTGTGTCTCCTGAAAATCCATTGTCACTTTTAGTCCAATGTGTATAGTCAAACACTAGAATCTTTCAGTGTGCGAAAAGCAGCACCATTTTATGAACATTGGGTGCCATCTCCTGCCATTGGGGTCAGGACTGCTAAGTGCTTTTATTTGTTGTTTCCCAAAACAATCTTTGGAATGTTCCTTCACCAAACTCTTTCTTGATGGTATCATCATATGACTTGGCCATTTCCTTGAAACTGTGGGTGGATTCGGGGTCTATTTCAATACCATTTTCTTTGATGCAAGCCTGTAGTTTCTGCTGTAATCTAACTTCTCTCATCTCTAATCTCCTTTTGGCCTAAATAATATTTTTTGTTCTTTCATAAAGCTCATTGCGACTCAGATGAGACAGTGGTACCTTGTCATTGTTGTGGATGGCATACAAAGTATTTCTGAATTTACAGCGAGCACTACACCTTTCAATGTAACCTTTTAACAATATGTCACAATGTGCTGATCTAACTGCAGAATGATGTATAGTTCCATCTTTGCTATTTAACGTTACTTGCTGTTGTCGTCCCACAATATAGCCATCTCTTCCGTAACTCCTGAAAATTCCACTCCTTGCAACTGCTAAACTATGAAATTTGTTATCAGGATTGGCAATGCACATACTAGCAGAATGTACCAAGTTGATTAGTTTCAATACTGTTGTTAATGATGTCATGATCCGAGGCAAACATCTTTATAACACACCAGTGCAGATCTCTGTGAATGATTATTGTCTTTGTAATTTCAAGCTGCTTTGCAGAGTTCTTTTAAAGACATAGGAACTGTATAGAATCATCACCAGCCTGGTATACCCAACCACTTGGTAGACTACATCTAGCCAGTCCTTGTCTGGTGAGAAAATATGGCATTGTATATGTGGGTACAAAAATGTATAACAGGTAAAGTGGGTACATGCAGAGACACATCACTGGGATATGCTATGTTGTTACTGATGTCGTCAGAAATGTAGGTCTGTACCTGTGGTGATTCTGTAATAGAAATTGTGCTGTCTATGTCTTGAACATTACATGCAACCTCTGCAAATTCCATAAGAATGCCATCATTACTAGTTGTATAGTCCGGAATTGTTGTGTCATCAGCACCGAGTCATCACAAAATATGGTGTCCTTAGGAGCTGTTGTGACCAATGTTGTGCCCTCAGGAGCTGTTGAGCCCAATATGATGTCCTTAGGAGCTGTTGTGCCCAATGTGGTGTCCTTGGGATCTGTTGTGTCTAATATGGTGTCCTTCAGAGCTGTTGAGTCAATTGTGTTGTCCTTAGGAGCTGTTGTGCCCAATGTGGTGTCCTTGGGATCTGTTGTGCCCAATATGGTGTCCTTCAGAGCTGTTGTGCCCAGTATAGTGTCCTTAGGAGCTGATGTGCCCAATGTGGTGTCCTTAGGAGCTGTTGTGCCCAATATGATGACCTTGGGAGCTGTTGTGCCCAATGCGGTGTCCTGAGGAGCTGTTGTGCCCAATATAGTGTCCTTGGGAGCTGTTGTGCCCAATATGGTGTTCTTAGGAGCTGTTGTGCCCAATATGGTGTCCTTAGCAGGTGTTGTACCCAATATAGTGTTCTTAGAAGCTGCTGTGCCCAATGTGGTGTCCTTAGGCGCTGTTGTACCAATTGTGTTGTCCCTAGCAGCTGTTGTGCCCAATGTGTTGTCCCTAGGAGCTGTTGTGCCCAATGTGTTGTCCCTAGGAGCTGTTGTGCCCAATGTGGTGTCCCTAGGAGCTATTGTGCCCAATATGGTGTCCTTAGGAGCTGTTGTGCCCAATATAGTGTCCTGAGCAGCTGTTGTGCCCAATATGGTGTTCTTAGAAGCTGTTGTGCCCAATGTGGTATCCCTAGGAGCTGTTGAGCCCAATGTGGTGTCCTTAGGAGCTATTGTGTCAAATGTAGTGTTCTTAGAAGCTGGTGTGCCCAATGTGGTGTCATTAGGAGTTGCTGTGCCCACTATGGTGTTCTTGGGAGCTTTTGTGCCCAATATGGTGTCCTAAGCAGCTGTTGTGACCAATATGGTGTCCCTAGAAGCTGTTGTGCTCAATGTGGTATCCCTAGGAGCTGTTGAGCCCAATGTGGTGTCCTTAGGAGCTGTTGTGTCAAATGTAGTGTTCTTAGAAGCTGTTGTGCCCAATGTGGTGTCCTTAGGAGCTGTTGTGCCCAATGTGGTGTCCCTAGGAGCTACCAAAATAAAAAGTTAATTTCGAGCCCTGAAACATACAAAACAAATTATGATGGACTCTCATCAATTCGCGTCCGTATAGGTAGTGTATTTTAATTTTTGTTTCAGTCATGCTTCCCCCCAAAAAGAACTCATTTCTCTAGAAGACATGATGCTACTCGAAAATAAGCTGGCCATTTTGTAGTAAACATGTTCATTACGACATGTTATAATAAATTCAAAAGACAAGTTTGTGAGAAAACGGGTCACACACTTGAACTGGCAGACGAGTGAACTGTTAATAAACAACACAAACCTCGTGGGTAGCATTTCTTATGGCAGGTCCAACATACAACCTCTCAATCTCCCGCATTTTTTGAATATTTTTCCTAATACAAACCATCTTTCATATTTTAATGGCATGTCAACGACGTAGTGATAAGAAACGAGTCACCAAATGTGACGGTCAAATCTCCGAGTCAAACAACATAATAACGAGAACATGATTTGTTGAACGTATTATCCATAAAGAAAGACTGCTACTTCCAATAAAAGTGACCACTTTGTAGTAAACATTGTTCAGTTACAACATATTGTAATTTTAATAAATTCGAATGAAAAAAATTGTGAGAAAACAAGTCACACGCTGAAACTTGGCGAAACACCAGCAAACAGTTCATATACGGTGTGAGATTCATTGGGAATCTTTATGTACAGCATCTGTGTGCTGACCCAGTGGTACTGAGCTATCACAAAGACTTTCTATGAAAGCATTGTAGAAGTTCTTCTCGTTGTAGAACGACCTGGTCAAATCATAAAATATCCTAAATATTCGAATCGAAATCACAGGCACGTGAGAACAAATAAACATGACACTCGAGATTCGCAAATCGGCAAATGCTCCTTATCCCTGTAGGCAGATGCGCTTCCCGAAATACCACAATGCGAATTAAAACAAATCCTAACAACCTTCCGAAGAGATGTAGTTAAAAAGTCATATTGAAATAAATGTGTTTAGGTTGAAATTATTTATTATTTATTCTGCTTTTATATTTGAGGTCATCTATTAATATTCAGCGTTGAATGATTATTTCTAAGCGCGTGTCACGTGAACAAGTAAGTAATATAAGGGCAAATGTTTATGGTGAGATAAAACGAAAGACAAAAGATCAACCTCAACTTCGGCTTAGTTACAAATTAGATGTTTATTTTATTATTTCACAGGGAATTTTCAAGAGATTTTTTCCCAAACGCTGATGTTATATTAGAATATTTTCAAGCATATAAGACCAAGTACAATATACGTGTACAGTATAATACAACGATTGTGAATGTTGGACGTGATAACACGGCTGTGAGTTTATTCTCATTAAGAGACCAGAAGGGTACTGTCCATACATGCAAGTAAGTACTGTACTATATAATAGTAATATGTTTAATATGATTTTTATGTATGGTATTTTCGAATGCGATGCCAATGTTCAGGATGTCGATGCATATTTCATTACTTGGGGTTGGACTCGAAAGGGATCCTCTCTTGGTGAACTGATATACTCAATATTGAAATTCCGATGGAACTGAAGTCAATGTTTTTTGACTTTAAGTCCTTAAACCAAGAGGAACTAAATTCACCATGTGTCTCAATACTTAGGTTGGTAAGACCATATAAGAGTGCCTATAATTAATTATTCCACAACCCAGTGCTTGACATAAAATTGTTTCTAAAGATAATGTCATGACTTATTATACGTTGAATTACGTCACGATCTGTGGTTGTCTAGTTGGCATTTATGCCATAATGTTTACTTGCGAGTCCCCAGACTTTTCAATCAATGTTGTTAATACTGCTTGCATAAAGTGTGATGCATTAGTCCATACATGTCCTATCAATAAACACTTTAATGACACATGTATGTCTCCGTAAAACACCAAGTTTTATTTTGAAAAAGGGTATTTTTGTGTGTTTACCTTGTGCTTAATTTTTATCAAAAAGTGTTTTAATTACTAAAAAAAACACTAAATACTAAAACAATACTGTTTTGATAGAAAATATATATTTTTTATTATATAATACACGTGTTTTTCAATTAAATCGGTGTGTTTTAATGAAAATTATAAAAGTGCTCCAAGATTTACAGTGTGGCTGCCATAGCTTGCTTAGAATTACATATTACAAAACAACATATATTACATATTAATGAGGTAAAGAAACATTTATATTGGTGTGATTAAGGATAGTAAAGCCTTATTGTCATTATTTTGTAAATATCGACATGGTGTTATAACTATATAATAGTTTGCTTGGAATTTATGCATACTAATGAGATAACTTGATAAACCACATCACCCCCACCACTCTACCCAGAAGCTACTGTGCAATGTACTGTGCTACTGTGTGATTCCAAACTCAGACAATAATTTCAATTCCGTGATATAATATATTGCCAATACAATGAGCAGGGTGACGGAAACCTTTCCTTTTCCCATGGTGCATTGTCATAAAATATTATAATTTTTATTGTTAAATAAATCAATATTCAGAGTAATTCATCAGATTGATAACAATACCAATTATAATTTAAATTAACATTTGCATGTTAATTAATTATATATAACAATGAACACGTCTATAATATTTTGTATGGACTGGATATGGCTTTTGCGGCCAGAGGTCGCGCGTCAGGGTAATAATGAGTCCAACTAGTCGTTCGGCATATTTCCCATCCACTGAATTATTATTACCGTCAGCAATTATCGAAGCGCAGGTGATAATCTTAAATTACGCACGTTGTTTGTAAACAGAAAGTAGTTCCAGGAAACAGACGCGTTTCCCGAATATGGTAACGGGGCCCGGGTTAAATTTGGAAAATTACTGCACGGCTCGCGTTTCCGGATTCCCTTAGCGTTAAGAATATGATAAATAAAATAAATAATAAAATAAAACTATATGCCACAGAAACCTATGCCACACTGACTAGTTTTATAATTTAAAACTTAAATTTATAGTTTGAATTATAGGAAAAACAACATTTTTATATAGATAAACACAGATACACAGATAAACAGTACAGATGCGCCTTCTGTTTTTATAGTATATGATTCACACTTATTTTATTCGATGAAAAAAAGCATCTAAAAATTATTACATGACATATATACCCATATACAGTGTAGACTACATATAAACTAATGATGGTGCGAAAACCTTGTGATTGTCTTCATGTCGTAAAATTTAGACTCGTCAGCCACATGGCTCTAACGACAATGTAGCTAACATATACACATGTATGTACCTTGTCATAATAAACCCATTTTATACTCAAAACAAGATTGTCCAGAGACAACTAAAATACTTGGTACGAAGAAGACCGAAATCATTACTTACTTAAATAATTGTACTTGTGTTGTTTCATACATGTATACCGTGTTCTGTGAGTACTGCATCCCTAAAAATACTGAGCAAAGTGGAAAACATAGTGACGTAATACAATGGCCATCTGGGTATACTGTACATAATACAATACATTATATTTATTAATGACTTAAATCATACATTAATTAATCTAAATTATTCGCGTGACAAAAATTAAAAAGTGTTAAATGTATATAACGAGCAATGTTGTCGGCGATAAGACATTAATCATTGTTTCTAATTGACAATAAAATAAAAATAATATATTAATGTGAAATTTAATTAATTTGAGAAAAATAACTTTGTGGAAAAGTAAGACGTGTAATTTATGGCTTATTCACAAATGTGACGTAAGTTTAATTCAATATTTGTTATCACTAAGCAAAATTCACCATATAAACTGATATATGATCCCCATTGTAAATTAAATTTAATCGTGCAATCTTTTGTTTTCGCTTGACAGGACTGTTATCGTCAGTACCGGGATAGCTATACCCAATGTGCCAGACTATGAAGGCATTGAAAATACCATAGGCTATGAGGACATGCCGATGAACATGTCGATGTACGATGGGAAAACTGTGCTCATTCTTGGCAAAGGTAACTCGGCCTTTGAAACGGGGACAGCGATATCGTATGTTGCGAACTTAGTTCATCTCGTGTCTAATAGAATAGAGGAAGACGCTTGGAACAGTCATTACGTTGGCGATGTAAGGTAGGTCAACATTTTCGGCATGGTACCGGGGGATCGCTGATCGTCTTTAAAAAAATTATCATGAATTCCCTACTAACTTAATAACTCAGCAAGTCAATGTTGTATTCAATCCTGACATGAACATAGCTTCAGTCCCAATGTTGTTCATTAAAAATACATTTGATATATAAACAGCTTTGTATATATGTTGATATATTTTTTTTATTTGATCAACTCGCACGCATCCCTAAAAAATATTCCTTTTTTCCGCTCTATTTTAACTCTCCTGGAATAGGGAAGCAAAACAACTTTTGAACGTGTTGGTGAATATTACACTCGTAATTACATCGTCGAGAACTCACTTTTCACTCACAAATTCACTTGGAAAATGTTCAATAACTCTTATTGTAACTTTCCTCGTCAAGTGTCAAAATACCAGTAGAACTTCCAATGCGAACATTAATGATCGGAATTTATTTGGGTTTGTTTTGTTTCATTATAGGACCTTCGCAGGGCATATTTGGTATTTTGAACGCCTTTGCCTAGAAATTCTGGGTTGTATTGGTGCACTGTTTTTCAACAATAATCTATGTTTTATACGTGAAAACTCGTGTGGTGGACAACTGGTGATATTGATATAGAACACTAGACATCTTGCCTGAATTGTTCCTATATGTATATAATATATTTTTTATATATAGTGTTCTTTTATTGGGAGTTTTAAGAGCCGTAATTGGTTTGTGCGATATAGTTGTATGTATCGTCCACCGTGACGTCATTGTTTACTTGTTGACAACTAGCGATGCGCATATTAGACTGGCATAGTCTGGACTTCTTTTTTGTTTTACAAAAAGAAATAATTAATTGTTCTTTTAGTCTTGTTAGTGTGATAGCGTAAACTAACCTGGCCGGTAAAGAAATCCCGACTGGACGCATCTGCGGTCAATTGACTGCTATTAATTATTCAATATGTCACTGATTATTCATGAGTGGATGTGTGAAAGTAAACACGGTCTTTTAAAGGTTGATACGATTCGATCGCAGATATGGATACTTTAACTTGATTTTCCCAGAGTTCTGGGTAAATCAAGGAAATAATCGCTGTTACGACACGCCTGGTTGGCTGGAAATGAGTATGCGCACTTATTCGGTCTCCAGTACGTATTTAAACCCCAGTAACGCGACTAGGTGCCTGTTGTTTGAATTCCAAAGAAACAATCAATTTGGAATGTCAATGCGCATGCTCACATTCTGGCGCACTGGGATCAGTAAACTCATGATGTGAGGTGCAAAATTGTAGAACTAGACCTTAGGATTTGTATATACAGCACAAACAATCGGGTTCGAACTTTTGGAATGACAAGTTAGAATATAGCCGTTTATTATTACGTTTCAGTGCATAAACATTGTAGCTAGATGTTTAGAATGCATAAATATTAATAATATTTACCCAATAATAATAACAATAACAAACACTGAAAAATAGTAGCAAAAGTAAGCCACACACAAAACCAAATACGGAGAAAAACAAATGGTAAGAACAATATATATATATATTGGGTAAAAAGGAAATCATAAAGTAGCTTACTACTAGTCTAGTCTGATTTCCAATATACACTGGAAGTAAATTATAATATATAAAGTGGAGGGCAAAAATTAAGTATATTAATATGAAGATTAACTAATCAAATTAATAATTAACTAAATAAATGAATATGCAATACAAATCAGTGATAAATAAACACATAGCTTATTAGTCAATAAATGAACACTTATGTCGACACCACCACCACGGAAACACCGGCAGCGCCCTATGGCCGGAGATGGAAGACCAAATAACGCCGGGCAACCGCGACAGTGGTGCCGTCAAAACAAACCTGATGACATACAAAACTTTGAAGTATAAGAAAACAAGTTGTGGAAAAATAAATTAGGTTAAAAAAAAGAAATGAATAAATAAACAACATATATGTCTAGTTTTCTGTCAATAGTAATTGCTTAATGTTTTTTGAACGAGCTGCGTGAGATAATTGACCTAATTGTAGCCGGGATATTATTCCATATTTTGCACCTGAGCATGTAATCGAAAATTGACCAAAAGTTGACAACAAAAAGATTTTGATTGTGAAGTTTGATATGAATGATGGATAGGTTTGAAATAATCATTAATATTATGGGCAGAATTATGGTGGATTTAAGTCATGGGTGAAAGTACATGTGACTAATTTGTGCATTTTATAGATATAAAGGATGTTCTTGAATAAAGGGGGCCGAGTGTTCAGTGAACGAACTAAACGTCATTGCGCGAACTAACATTTTCTGGGTCATATAAATGGCATTTAAGTGTGACTTATATGTATTACCCGAAACCTCCAGACCATAATATTCGGCTGTATAAGGGAGTCATAAAGCAATATTAAAATGTTAAGGGTATGACGTGTCTAAGTTTAAATAATTATTAAATAAAATAATTTTAATTTAGTTTAAATAAAATATTTATCCACTGGGGTTATTTTTGTCAAAAATGTCAGAAAAAGATATGGCGAATTTCTAAGAAGTGGTCATATATACAGCACTAGTACACTTATAAGGATATTTTTTGTCTTGACGAGTTAGGTCATGGTCATGTAATACATAGTGTCTAGAGTACACAGCCCCCGGAAAGTTTGTATTGTTGCTCTATTGTTACAAAATATCAATATTCCCTAGCATCTCAACTGTGACCAGCCATGGCGGCATACCATTTCCTTCCATGAATTGCAGGATCAGTTTTGATTTATACCAATTATGTCTTAAACGGTTCTCGTATGTGAATAGTAAGATAGACAAGATGACCAACTTGAATTTGAAGTCTATACAAAATATTTTGATGGATTTTGAACCCTGAAATCACACCATTCATAAATCTGCATAATGACATAAATGTCATCCTTGGGCAATTTTTCTAATTTGCATAAATTTACAATTGCAGCCCTAATACCATAAATCAGTATATAATCATCTCTGGTTACCAATTTTTAGTGGTCTAAATAACAACATTCTCCTTAGAAGATATGTTCTCAGAACAAAATGTGATAACTTCAATTTGTATATATACAACATTATGTGCATATAATTAAGACTGCCGCATTAAATCATGCAAATTAGAAAATTTGACATTATGTCATCACGCAAATCCACCAAGTTTATGGTCCCAGAGACTAAAATCTATTAGATATTGTAAATCCAGGTTCAGCTCGAAAATACTATTTGACTACAGGAATACTGTTTTTGTTGATAGACTACCAGCTTCTAGTGCCTTTGACAGCTGGATATTTTAAATAAGAGCGAGCTGAGCCAACCGCGTGAATGGCTACGATGGCATCGTAACAGAATCATTTTAGTTGGATGTAGAAACCATAACACCAATTACCAATTACAAAAAAGTTGAAACGCACTCTAAAACTTAAAACTAACGACTAAGTGTAACAACATAATTCCTAATAAGTATTTTATTCACACTTTTAGGGCTGTCAACAACGAATTGTATGATACCTTCTATTTAAAGTCTTTAGATGGATTATTCGTGCTTGCTACGGGAACCGGCATGGAACAACCACGATTCGTGAAGGACGAAAGCAGTGAAAAAATAAGTATCAGGTTTAATCATTTGATATCGGACAAAGATAATTACATGTTTAGATGGGAATACGACTACGTCATCAGATGCACGGGGTTTGTCTTCGACTTCAGTATTTTTGACAAGTATGTAGTTGAATTCAGATCATAATCATTATCATTATTACGAGATGGGTTATCGCTACTCTCGAGAAGAACGTTATCCGCTCCCATGCGTGAATTTTTTCTCTGTCTGCGTGTTTAACCGTTAGCAAATTCAAATGAAATTGTGTACTTAATTATCTCAATATACACACTACAATGATATTCCCGTTCAGATACTGTGATGAGTCATGTCGGTTTTATGCAATACTTGTTATTTTTATAGAACATGCCGGCCGAAACCGAAATTCCCGTGGAATAAAAATCGACGACCTAAATACCCTCTTATAGATCACACCTACCAAGCAGTTGACGTTCCTGGGTTATACTTTGCAGGAACAGTGACACACTCGCTGGATTTTAAGAAGTCGTCTGGTGGTTTTTTACATGGGTTCCGTTACACAAGTAAATATGATTGTTTTGAATTAACATACATTGTACCTGCAAAATTATTATATATTAACGAGTTTAGATTAACATAAGGATATTTGTCGACATTAAATAACAACGTTTTTTTCTTCAAAAAACGGCACTGTGCGTAGTGATTAATTATTCTTAATTATATTCATAGTCGCTCAGATTTAAATTTAAATTGTTTTGGCCTTGCAGTAAACTTACTTGCGATTGACAGCATATCACTGAAAAGTAACAGTAAAGTAAAACAGTCTCTTTCATCCGCTGTACCTTGTTATAAGACTACGTTAATTATATTGTTAATAAGATCACGAAATTGTGACGAACACGATTAATTTATTTTGCTTGTGATATTAGTAAAGAAACTCATGCACGACAAGATTAGATTTAGATTATGGGAACGAAGATTTCTAACATTTTCGTTTTTTGATATACTGATGTTTCAGCACAGGCTCTTCACCGAATACTCGAATACCAGAACCATAGAAAACAATGGCCGTCCATTAAAATGTCAATTTCAGAATTATTGAATCATATTATCAAACGAGTGAATGAAGCTTCTGGCTTGTACCAAATGTTTGGCGTATTAAGTGACGTCATGATATTATCAAGGTAGGATTTCAGCATTATAACAACTTTAGTGTAATTCCTGCACCTTTGCATTTTGTGACAATGAATATATTACTCTGTTTTTATTCTCAAAGATGGTTGCGCCATGCTTTCTTCATGCACGGATTATTTCGCCCATTGTTGTCTTCACATTTAATTAATTATGATATGAACACCTCGTCTATTATTCATTACATTCAAAATAAACAAATTATACAATATTTATAAATGTATATATATTATTAATTTGTCATATATCTTTGAAATATTAGGATAAATATTTTTGACTTGTGATTATTGTGACCTCCATAAAATGTCTCCTATTCTACTTTCATTTCTCCCTCATAATTTCAATTATTCTTTCAATTACAATGGTGCCATTAGTACGGATTATTTCGCCCATTGTTGTCTTCACATTTAATTAATTATGATATGAACACCTCGTCTATTATTCATTACATTCAAAATAAACAAATTATACAATATTTATAAATGTATATATATTATTAATTTGTCATATATCTTTGAAATATTAGGATAAATATTTTTGACTTGTGATTATTGTGACCTCCATAAAATGTCTCCTATTCTACTTTCATTTCTCCCTCATAATTTCAATTATTCTTTCAATTACAATGGTGCCATTAGTGATGAAAAATACGAATATCTGGAAGACTATCCAATACAACTGTTACCAACTTTTAAAAATATTACCGGAAAAGAAGCAGACCGAATTATTGTCTTCACTCTGCAGTACGGATCTGGAGAAGGTGGGAATGTCTTTACTGTGTTGTTGTCGTTAATATCTCATGCCCTGAGTGTGTGATTGCTTAACATGTCCTATACTGATATAAGTATAAATATGTTGACACATTGTTGGAAACAATTCTCATTACCTGACTATTTTTTGTAGAAAAAACAACCCACTTTATAGTGTGAAATTTTCCCAACAAACAAACTACAGCTCTAGTAGCTATTATTAGTTAGTGAACTTTTCTGGCCTACCATAAACTCTATTTCGGAGAACTGACTAATTTGTATAAGGAATTCGATTGTTGCAAAATTCTATTTGTTGCGGAAACTACATGTAAATTTTTGCAAATTATACATCGTTATCTCACTAGCGTTCACAAAATGTATGTTTGCACATTTTTCCTGGTAATTTAGATGTCATTTTAAGATGCTCAAATTGTACTCCAAGCGGGCGACACTATAAAGTTTAACCTAAAATAAAAGAAATACTTAAAATGTGCAAAATGCTATTTCTACAGGTAAAATTATATTTTGCCGTCCCTAAAGGGTTGCTCTGTATCGCATTATTTATTTAGATTAGCATTGTTTAGTGGTGTACATCATTTTCCTTATTGGTGAACGTGTTTATTTGAAACCCGTCATCCTTTCTCGGGTGTAGGTGAGCACAGGGTTTCAGAAATATTTAGTCCCGTCATTATCGGGTATTTATCGGGGTAATCAAAGTTATTATAATTTCACGTTAAAAGTGTATGGTAACCTTTTATTTTCACCGGTTAGGTTGATAATAATACTATTACGACCTCAAATTGTATTCAAAGGTTGTTAACCAGTTATCCAATGCATGTATGTAACTAGCCGCAGGTATGCACCATACTTACTATATAATATATTGTTACTTCTGGCATGGTATTTACATTCTGATTACTATTTTACGTGGTGTTTATAGAACCAGTATTTTAGAGACAAACTTTCGGCATTCAAAAAGAGAAAATAATATTATTATAATATTGAAGTACATTTAATTCAATTTTCCACTGACTGTTTAATTTTTTCTCTATTCTGCTGTTCTTAATATTCAGGAGTGGAATTAAACATAGCCAAGCAGGCGCATACGTCCTTCTTTCTGCACCCGATGTTTCATTATTACGAGCGAATACCAACAGGTAACTACCGTTACAAATTAAATTCTGATTCCTAATGTATATATATATATATATATATATATATATATATATATATATATATATATATATATATATATATATATATATATATATATATATATATATATATATATATATATATATTCATATATTTTGCGACCAAATGTATTTTT